TTTTGGCCAGATTCTTGGAAGATTCTTACTTCATTTCCTTTCCCTTTTAGGCGGATCCTTGCTTTATTTCCTTTCCCTTTTGGGTAGATTATTAATTTATTTTCTTTCCCTTTTGGTATTCCTTTCCCTTTATTTCCTTTCTCTTTTGGTTAGATACATTGTTTGTAACCTCTATAAATAGAGGAGGAATTGCTTATGAATGGGGCAGACTTTGATGACTATTGATATTTCCTTGTTCTTTGAGCTTTAGGCTTGAGAATTTTCTGCTTTGTATCAATCAAGTTTTCCCCTTGATTGTGGTCAAGCTTCTACCCTATATTGATAGAGCCTTCTCCCAATTTCGTGTTGAGATTGCACTTTCAATTCCATACTATCCCCAAACAAACAAAAATCCCTAAAAAGCTCTTTTCCGGTTTGTTCTTGGAGCTGCGTTACTTTGATAACTACGGGTACCGGGTCCGTGCTCGTATCAAGTGGTATCAGAGCCCGGTTCAACGCAGTGGCAGGATCGAAAGCGAGAGGACCTGTTGCTTGTCGAACGAGGTCCAAATATCCGATTGCAGAACGCAGAGAAGAGGAAGAATCACTCTCTAAAGAAGAAACCCTAATAGAAGAACCAGTCATGGGAGAGCAGAGTCAGAATCTTGTAGAAGCTATGAAGTTGCTTGCCGCGCAGATGGCACAGATGGGAGCGTTGCTTCAGGCCCAACAGGACGCTACCAAAGGTCAGCTGGTTGAGACGAATCAGCGACTGGACACCCTAATCACTAGGTTGGAGATGCAACCAATGGGTAATCCACTACCACCAGAGAATCCAGCAGTTGTCATAGCTCAGACTGGAGCTTCGAACCAAGAGGGTCCAAGAGCAAATCGAGTGTATCAAGCTTTTCCTGAGACCCCAGATTGGCAGGTGCAGAGGCGCCAATACACAGAGCAACGTCGTCAGGTAATTCCACAGAACAGACCTCCATTTTATGACTATGATAATGATGATTATGAGTATGGAAGAAGACCACCGGAAGTAGGAGGTTATGGCGTTGAACCGATTCGAGGGATTAAGCTCTCAATCCCATCGTTTCAAGGCACTAATAGTGCATCAGCTTACCTCGACTGGGAGAGGAAGATGATTATGTTTTTCCAGTGCAATCCTTACCCAGAACATCAGAAAGTTATTATAGCCACATATGAGTTTATAGATTATGCGGCTGCTTGGTGGGAAAAGATTCAACAACGACGAAGAAGGAATCTGCAACCTGAAGTTTCTACTTGGGCAGAACTCCGAGGTTTGATGCGTGATCGGTTTGTTCCTCCTTTCTATCAGAGAGATCTCCATGATTCCTTGCAGGGAATTCGACAAGGAACGCGCTCTGTTGATGAGTACTTCAAGGAGCTGGAACTGCTCATGATGAGAGCAGATGTGAGGGAGGACAAGGAAGCAATGATTGCTCGTTTTCTACATGGGCTTAACAGAGAAATCAAGAATGAAGTGGAGCTTCGTCAGTTTGTGGAATTGGAGGAGGCGGTGCATTTAGCCATGAAGGTAGAGAGGCAGTTGAAGATGAACTCGGGAAGAAGGTACCCACCTTCACCCAAACCTATTGCAGAGAACATTCCTGAGGCTAACAGAAATCACCCTAATCAAGAAGGAGACAAGCCAGCTGCCAGGAACACATCCCCAGTCATTCAAGCCAAGAATGAAGGGTCAACGGGAAGCATCCAATGCTTCAAGTGTTTTGGTCGAGGTCACAAGGCTAATCAATGCCCCAACAAGAAGGCTCTTGTCTTGAGAGATGGAGAGTACTTTTCTGAAGAGGAGTGTGAAGAGAAGCCGATGGGGGAGGGACTCAACCGCTATTATGATGATGACGATGTGGATGAGCACATCGAGGCTGAAAGGCCTCCAGCAGGTAAACTTCTGGGAGTGAATCGCAGAGCCTTATCTATTGAAGCTTACACGGAGACGGAGCAGAGGGATAATCTCTTCCACTCTCGTTGCTTAGTCGATGGGAAAGTGTTGTCCGTAGTCATCGATGGTGGTAGCTGCACCAATGTGATTAGTCTGGACGCAGTCAAGAAGCTGGGATTGAGCACCATCAAGCATCCTCAACCTTACACCCTGCATTGGTTGAACGACTATGGGAATATCAAAGTCAATAAGAAGGCTAAGGTTTGCTTTCATATCGGTGATTATACAGATGAAATTTGGTGTGATGTTGCTCCAATGCAGGCTGCTCATCTCTTATTGGGTCGTCCATGGCAATTTGACCGGGAGGTTATTCATGATGGAAGACACAATAGCTACCGTTTCAAGAAAGGAGATCGGAAGTTTCTGTTGAATCCATTGTCACCAGCTGAGGTCCGAGAAGATCAACAACAATTGGCAATTAGTTGGGCCATGGAGAAAGGGAGTGCAAGTGGCTCGAAGTCTGAGGACAGAAGTGGAAATCATCTCATTGCTCGAAGGAACATGTTGACTGCACTAAGGAGAATTTCATTTAGAAATTCAGTTGATTTTGTCTCTTGCAGTAAAGCACAAGCTTTGAGGGCAAAGCTTCTTCAACGAGGAGGGACTGATGTGATCCTCCAGAGCGATCCAAAACCCCTCATTGGAGTCACCAGCATTGGAGTCCAAGAAGAAGGGTCCAACTCAGCAGAAGGAAGAAAGGAATTACTTGAGGACTAAGTCATTGCTTTTGGCCAGATTCTTGGAAGATTCTTACTTCATTTCCTTTCCCTTTTAGGCGGATCCTTGCTTTATTTCCTTTCCCTTTTGGGTAGATTATTAATTTATTTTCTTTCCCTTTTGGTATTCCTTTCCCTTTATTTCCTTTCTCTTTTGGTTAGATACATTGTTTGTAACCTCTATAAATAGAGGAGGAATTGCTTATGAATGGGGCAGACTTTGATGACTATTGATATTTCCTTGTTCTTTGAGCTTTAGGCTTGAGAATTTTCTGCTTTGTATCAATCAAGTTTTCCCCTTGATTGTGGTCAAGCTTCTACCCTATATTGATAGAGCCTTCTCCCAATTTCGTGTTGAGATTGCACTTTCAATTCCATACTATCCCCAAACAAACAAAAATCCCTAAAAAGCTCTTTTCCGGTTTGTTCTTGGAGCTGCGTTACTTTGATAACTACGGGTACCGGGTCCGTGCTCGTATCAGGAGCCTTACACTTAGAGAAAGGAGTCTTGCGTATGTCTGAACGCAATATCAGACCATGCTAGAGCAAATGCTGGTTGCATTTAGGCAATTTTTGTGTTGACAGTTAGAGTGTCTTCTTGATAATCTGTGGGTTGTAAGTGATTTCAAGTCAAGATTATAATAACTTGGTGATTACTAATTACGTTCTCCGAATAACTTCTGTGTGGGTGATGCTTATGTTATTGTGGGTAAGCGGCATGGTTTCCCTGTTTGCTTTAGGGTAGCATTGAGATTTTCTAAGCTGATTCATCTTTAGATTGTATATAATACATCTATTTATATATTTCTCTCTATTTTTTTGGCAACACACATATCAAGCATTTAAAAAAGCTTGGTTTCCAGTTTTAAGCTATAATATTAGGAAAATGCATCATCTAATTCGTCCCCATTGTTTTTCAGTTATCTATAAAGAGAAAGGATGGTCAACCAATGGATGAGAGGAATTCTGCTAATTTTGGACAAGAGACAGTTCAGTTGAGATTGGAACTTCTTAATTGGAGTTTGAGATGTATTGTTTGAAGTCTTATGCTTATGTTATTGATTGGTCAAACCAAAATTGTAGTGCTTAATTCTATTGTTGCTGGGAGAATAAATTAAAAAGAAGTCGAGGAGTTTGTTTTATAGACCCAATGTTGTGTTGGTAACTTGGTAACTATGGGTGGACAATGTCGTATCATCTTGTGACCCATTCCTTTGTTTGTAGGTGTGATTGCCTGGTGTATTATCTAATAAGATGGGTTTCTGTATAATGACATTGTTTATCTTTTATCTTCTTACTTATCTTTTTATCTTCTTACTTAAGAAGGCAAATCCACTATCAATTTTTCAAAAAGTTTAAATGACATCATTACCACATGTGGATTATGAAGAACTATGGCAAAGTAGCTTTGTATGCACCTGGCTGTGCAATGAATAATGAGTGCTCAAGGTGTGCTTAGTAATAGTTGACTTCCAGTGTCTGAATTGTGAATACGATGACATTGAGAAAGAGGTTGAATGTTACGAGATTTTGCTTCAGTCATTTTCAATTCTAATATATTTTTTTCGTGGGGTTTCTGTGACAATTTGCCTCCTTGAGTTACACCATCCGGATCAGGATAGTATATATGAGTGGTGGTATTAGTCGAAACGAGTACTAGTGCAAGGTTTTCTCCCAACCATCAAGTATGGTACACTCTTTTGTACCCCAAGTATTGTGAAATGTTATTTAGTTGGATAAGTTCATGACTTTGCATTTTTGCTCGGTTACTTTAGTTATAGTTACCGAGCAATAACTATTAGTCCATACAAACTCAAGTTACTCCTTTAATTTGTATTTTGATTGTCTACATTCTTAAACTTTCGGATGTTCCATCCGAACTAAGAAATGGAACATAACCCGCCACAGAGCGCAGGATGATTACTAGTTTTAAAGTAAACCTATTCATTCAACAGTTTGGCTTCTTGCAGGATGACTTACGGATGACTGCGTGGCAGCTCGGATTCTCTACCAGCAAAGATGAGTTCCCGATAGAGTTCCGTTTTCTCTGCTAAACAGAGTTATTCCCTGGATCATCGCATTTTTTGGTCTGGATAGATCGGTAAGTCTCGTGAGTTTGAGTTTAGCACCGAAGGTGTTTGATGAAATTTGTAAAAGAATCTCGAGCTTGTGGTTTTGTTCAGTTCGTTGGTCTGAATTAACCGAAACCTAAACTTATGAGCTGCGCTTTCTGGGTTCAAATGGGAAATTTAATGTTTACACGAAAGAAAACAGAGGCTTTTCTGGGTTCAATTGCTCATTCTTCTGCCTCTTCCTTCTCATCTCGATGCAGGAAACCATCGGAGCTCCGTTTCCGTGTGCTTCTCCAAGTTCGGTTCGATCCAAGCGCTATACGTGTACTCCTTGGTGTCGCGCCAGTCGCTACTGTTCCGTCCGCTCCAAAAGGTATGAAATTTTCTTGTCGCCAGAGAGTAGAAGATGCCATCTCTCCCACTAAACCTGTCCAGAAACACCTTGTTTCCCAACCCTGAAATGTCCGCTCCGCTGCTTGTTGCTGATAACAGAGAAGTAGAGCTCAGAAACAGCATCGTGTCTTCTAGATTGTGGATTTCTTTCCAAGCCATGGTTGTTTGTTTCAGCTCAAATACCCGCAGAAACCTCCCCATGGGACCCGTGAACACTGATAGAAGCTTCCCTCTGGACTCCAACAAATGGGCTCTTCTTATTGACGCACAAGGGCTTCTGGGCAAGCTCATGAACTTAGTGGAACGTCTTGGCCCTGGATCGTGAATGCATAGATTTCCATTCATTCCCATGATATAGAATAGTCCTTGGTGGTAAACTGGATTACTGTAAGAACTCTTGAAATTTGTTCCTTTCTTCTCCGCTGACGAGTAATTCCAGCGGTATTGTCCACGATGAATAGAGTAGAGGTTCACAGATGTCGAAAAGACTGTGTAGCAAATTACCATGCAGTCGGAGGATGTTGGAGGAGAAGAGAAAGTAAACCCGTCTTGGTGACATAGCATTTTAGGTAAGTCAATCCTTTCGCTAGTAAAAGGGTTGAGAAAGAATAGTTCACTTGAACTTCCTTGGGAGGATATCAACAACCATCCATGTTTAGAGCAACGAACGACTGGTTCTGTGCCTTTTAAACTGGGTGAAGGCAACGAGCTGGTAGAATTGGTTACCGGATCGAAGAAATTGACTTGCTCACTGTTGCTTCCTATGTGCACGAGGATTGGGAATCGATGATTTCTCTGCACATTCCCCAATTGAAGATCAGATTCACAGTTAGAGTTCGAGAATGCCGATTGCCATGCTTTGCAGGCAAGACGAAAGTAACAACGATCAGCTCCAAATAGACATGACTGTATGTCACAAAGAAGGTCGGTTGGAACGTTGTTCCAACCACCACAACCACTGCTACTTCCTGACGGTAACATAACCTGCTTGCTAGCAATCATTACTTCTGGTTGGGGATCGTCTGCTGAAGCCCAACTATGAAGAGGCAACCGGATCCACTGTGGCTCATAATAGTCAATTCCCATGTTGGGGCAAGGTAATGACACTCTAACACTTCTCTCTTTAATATCATATGCATAAAGACGCTTGTCATTCCTTTCTGAGAAATAAACGGTGTTCCCGCGAACAAGTCCTGAGTTTAGATCTTCCCGTGGAAATTTGTAGAAGAATCCATTCTCTGGGTAGCTTAAGAAGATGGCACAATCATCAGGTAAACTTTCCATCCTTTGGCATACTTGGTCCTGTAAATTCACCTTGTATAACTCAATCCTCTTGCAACCAATGTCTCTGATATGAGGGTCCTGTATTAACATTTTTTTGTACCCATAGTATAGCTCGATTATCATAAGCTCGCTATCTGAGCACTGAACCAAGAACTTGTCACAATGTGCATGGCTTCTAGGGTATCGTTCTCTGACTTTCAAATCAATTAATTTCATCTGGCAGCCACTCATGTCTCGATTGAACTGAAACTTCCATAGGCTTTTGCAGCAACGTGTTTGTGCATATACGCCGTTGAGGGCAGCACATCCTGGAAAATGCAGCCAGAAACCTCTGCGACAAATACTACATTGTGGTACTACTAGTATCGTCCAATTCTCATCCCCAGGCCTGCAGTATAGCAAGCTCGTCCCCACCATATGTGATTGGAACATAACAACACAGCTAGGATCATGTGGAGGAGAAGAAAGGAAACAGTTGACGGGCTTCGAGAGGTATTCAGGCCAACTGGGTAACGGGATCTTCTCCATGGTGACTGGGTTTAGCAACAAGCAATGTCCGCCATCCCAAGCATAGAGAACAAACCAACCATGAGAAGTGGTGAAGATTCGATGATTTCGTATTTCAGGTATGTGCTTGACATGGTGGCGGCGTTCTGACAAGCTGTAGATCAGTGACTTCTTGTTTTTCTTACCATGGAGGTAAACCAGCCATGGTTCTGGGCGTAGAGCTGGTGCGGCAGCCTCTGGCGTTTTCGGCAGTTCATCTTCATGGTTCTTATCTGGCTCCTCATGCTGCTGAAGCTCCGGTTTAGCCATTGATTGTCGTCTTGTACGTGTGCAGGTTGTGTGGCGACAGAGACCAATTGAAGGAATTGGCTTTGGTTAATGCTTTTTTACTTCGACCCTTAAGATTTATATTCTGTTTAAGCTTATTGCCGTATAGGTGATTCCTTGTCCTGAAAGGAATAGGCTTTTCTTTCTTTCCCTGTTTCCAGCTCTTGTCCAGATAATTGTATCTCTTGTTCGAGAAGGAAATGGATTATACGATGCTTTAGTTTGTAGTCCTTGTTTGACTAGAAAAGCTTTTCAGACCAAAAAATTCACGTCACTTGTTGGAGGAGTCGATGTATGGTCAGTTGCTAATTAACACTTGCATTTTAGGGTTATAATGATAGCCAAATATTAAAATTTGAATTCGTGAAATTATACCATAGTAATTGATCGCTCAAGTAGAACCCCTTAAAGGAGATTAAAGCACGCACAAATGTATCAATCTGTATAGCACTTTTGGTTGCTATCTCACAATTTTATTATTGAGTATTGAACCACTAGTCCACTAGCTTTGCTCATAATAAATGCAAGGAAAAGATTACAGAATGGAAGCTTGAAAAGGTCTTTTGATTAAGAGGCTGGGAACATTTTCGTGGGAGTTAAGATTCTAGCTCTTTCGACGAGAATCCCATCAACTTGATTCACCACTAGATTTCTTATGCAAAAATGGTTACAAACCAGCAAGAGGGTGAGAACTGAAAAACACATTTCTATTAACAAAAACTATTCTCCTCTCATGTATGGCAAATCTTTGGAGAAACCAGAAGTAGTAGGCAAAAGATATTCACAAGGGTGCCAGAAGAACTCTTCACAGAGATTTTGATCTTTCCTCATCAAAACTTTGGGGAAGAACATTTACCATAGTAGTGGAAGTTTGAAGCCTTACTTCCCTGGAGATGATGCGAATCTACTCTTTTCCCTTTGCCTGTTCAATGCTCGATCCTTCGGTGACGACGAAGTTTTGGCAACAATCCCTGCCTGTCTCATCATCTCTGCAAACAGGCAGGGGGAAGTACTTGTGAAAATGAAACTAAAGCCAATATTTCAGATTCAGTTTTGTTTACCGAAATTTGGCTCTGAAACCCATGGAATTTAGTATGGTTTTGGTTTAACTAAAACCCATTTCCTCACCCCCACTTTCATGAATATGAAGTTCACAACCATTTATAGAAAGCAAAAGACCACAGACCCCCATACCTCTCTTCTTCTCGAGCTCATCAACAAGCTCTTCCTTCCATTTCCTCTGTCTCTCAGAAACCTCGATGCTGGAGAAAAGGCGGCACAGATTTCCCAACAAAAGACAGATATGAATCAACACGCACAAGTATCACCAAACAATACATTCTATAGATCCTAAAGATGCAACTTATCATTCCATACTAACCCTGGGCTACTAGATTCTGGCTGCGTATCAGCAAACACTGCATTTTGTTCGTCGGTCTGTGAAGAAGAAATGGCTATCGAAGTTGCATCATTTGCATCAACAACATTTAATGCACTGCGGCCAGTACTCCCAGGGGTTTTGGTATCAGTTCCAGGGGAGGAGGCACGCAGAGAAACTCCTCTACTAGGTGACTTGCTCTTAGGTGGCAACTTTAAGTAATTCGGAGAAGTTTCATTGCACAAGCCCTGAGGAAAACTTGAGGAGCTAGTTGCAATCATGCTGTTGTAGAATTCTTCATAAAGAGGCGTTTGTGCAGTTTCTTCAGCTCTAAAGCCTGCAAGTACCACCATATCAAATTAAGACTTCAATTCAAGTCAATGTCCCCAAACCTAAGTCAACAGGAAGTTTGAAGAATCTTTCTCCAATTAAATTGTACCTTTTCATCTAGAAAAGCTTTTATTTTTGATTCAGTGAGTTCATCCTCCTCCTCAGATAATGATATCTCACATGACAAGGTTCTATTGCACTGAGCTGGTTCTTCAGTAAACATTCGTCCTCCTTGTTCTGGTTCGAGACACTCGTCAAATTTTCCCGTTAAATCTCCAACGAACTCATGCTTGACATTACGATTCTGAACCAATCACAATTAACAGTTAACCAATAAAATGGAAGAGGTTGAAGAAGAATGCTTCGAGATAAGATCTTACATTGCAAAATTCACCAGAAGTCATAATAGGATTTTGATTGATCTACTTAAATCGCTATCGATCTGACACATATCGTCATCTCCATCATTTGGTCTCCACTGATGTTGAGTTTCACTTGAGTTTTGCAGATTTATGGAGTAGTTTATACTCCCCAAGTTACAGAGATCTCCCGAGCCAGATAAAGATGGAAATGGTCTAACAATTGGGGGGAAAAGAACATGGATTGTGAAAACATAATAGGAGTAAAAAAATCGGTATAAATGGTGGAATTATTTTTTACTTACCTGATGTCTATTTCGGTGGGTTTTGACTGTGGATTAAAACTGGTTGCTGTATCAGAAACTCCATTCTCCCCCTATAACAAATGGATGCTGCACTAACACGTTAAAAATTGGAGTCAACAAACACCATTAACTCAAATATTCTCAAAATAACCATTAGAGCAAACTAGAATCACCTTCAACAACTCAGATGCATCTAGTCTCGTATCAGGTTCCCTGCACAGTTTAATTAGCAGATGAAAGAGGTTAGAGGAGTTTTTTTTCCCCCCCTTTTCTTTTTAACATTCCGGGTATCAAGAGAAAGGCCAAAGTTAAAAGGCAGTAAAATGGTACTTTTGCAAGCACTTGAGCAGAAAATCTTTTGCCTCAGCTGAGAGATGCTCAGGGATTTCTGGATGTGACTTTGTTGACCCTATGTGATAGAGGGCAGCAACCTACAGGAAACATGTTAGCAAGGTAAAAATGAAGTGCCCCTCAACAAAAATCGTGATAAAGCAGAATATTAGTTTGCCTCTTGGTATTGTTGGCTCCAAGGAGGCCTGCCAGTTGCCATCTCGATCACAGTACATCCAACACTCCAAATGTCAGCAGAGCTACAGTATTTTTCATCAACCACGTATGAGGTTGAGTACAGTAACACTAACCTACCCATTCATTAAGTATAGATGGTGGATTAAAGGATCTAATAAGTCTTATCTTTATCTAGTTCATTTTAGTCTTTCTTGTTTTTATTCCATTTGAGTTTGTTCCCAAATAGAAATGATCAAATGGTTACTTTAAAGGATCTAAGTTCTTGAACTTACAAGCTATGCCCTGTCTGACGAATGACTTCAGGCGCCATCCAGTATGGAGTACCCTTCATTGACTTCGCCCCTGAAATTGTGGCCTGAGGAAACAATATATCAATCAGAAATAGAACATAAGAAGCACTCTGTGGGAAAATTCCGCAGAATAATGAAGCGCCAAAATACCACTTTCTGATTATCAAGACTCATACCAGCTCGACTACCTGCTTCGATGCACCAAAATCAGCAAGTTTAATGCATCCTTTATTATCTACAAGGATATTTGCACCCTAAAAGCACAAACAAAGGAAAGCACACATTATAACTTATAAGCATGCCATACAAAAGCTGAAGGAGTTCTCTAGCATGCCATACAAAAGCTGAAGGAGTTCTCTAGCATGCAGGAAAAGTCAGTGAGAGTCAAACAAGCACCTTAATGTCTCTATGCATGATGCCATTACTGTGCAAGTATTCCAAACCCAGCAACAATTGTTCTGTATAAGTTCTGATAACCTGATAGGTGGCATGGCCATAAATTAGCAGTGAGCCGGTAAAATTTGAGCCATGGAAGAAGTGAAGAAACTTACTGCTTCAGGAAAAGGTCCAAATTTTCCTAAAAGTGAGGATATAGATCCACCAGGAACAAATTCAAGCAAGATGTTTAATGATTCCTCCTCCCTAACTGTGCCGAGGTATCTCTAAGGATCACAAGGGTTTAGACAACAATCAGTCGAAAACTGTGCATAGCTAATTAAAGTATATGCAAGTCTGAAATGATTTCTGGCTACTAACCACGATGTTGGTATGTGAAAGATTCTTAAGAAGCTTCACTTCTTCCTCAAGATCTTTGACATGAGCCTTCATAAAACAATCGATAAACAATCCTAAAACCAGAATAGTGTTTCACTAACAAACCCGTGCCTCACTAAGAAACTGGTCCTACTAATCCAATAGATGTTACCTGTGCTCACTCCTTGGAGGCGCCATTGGCTGCAATCAGAACCTTGAACAAAATAAACAGAATTCAGAATCGAACTGAAAATACATCAATATGTAACTTGGAGAAAGGACTCGGGTCGTTCCGGATAACACACAACTTTCTAATGAATCCAACAATGCAGCACAAAACTCCCTTAAACCCCAATGAAGCTACAGTGGGAACTGAAACTCAAAGTAGGAAACATTCTCAAATTACACTGTTTGTTTCCAGCAAACGAAGTAAGAAGTTCAGAATTAAAATCAAATTCACAAAGGAGAACATTCCCAAAAGTCACATTCTAAACTTTGGATTCAATAAGCACCCCCCGCCGGCCGCCGCCACCCACCCACACACACCCAACGACCCAGAAATGAAAATCCCATGCGAGACCAAACCCACAACTTAAATTGTCCATTTTACCTGCTTTATAGCCAAAAGCTCTCCAGAATCAAGATTCATGCCCATATAGACATGCCCAAACGCGCCGCACCCGATCAGCTCTCCTTTCCGGTACCGAATCGGAGGCGGCATGGGAAGTGGAGGGGAAGACGACGGTTTGGCGAAGATTCCCGACTTTCGAATGCAAGAATTGATCTTATCGACCAATGGGTATCTCCCCGTTAATGGAGGGCTGTTGCCGCCGTTGAGTTCCGCCGTGGTGCTGATGCTCTCTGGGTAGGAGCGGAAGACGAGCGACCGCCTGACCTATCCGATGAAGTCTTGCATTTTGTGGAAGAGAGAGAGCAGCGAGAGAAAGAGTGAACCGCGATTGATTGACTGAAGGAGGGAAAAGGTTGGATTTTTAGTCGGCGAAAAGGGAGAAGAACGAAATTGAGAAGAAAAGCGAGTGAGTGAGAAAGAGAGGAGGGAAAAGAATTGCAGAAGATTCTCTTTTTGAAATAAGAATTAAGAAGAAAATAGCAACACTGTCTCTCAGACAATACGACGTCGTGACAATAAGGGTTCAACTGGCAAATTGCTCTTTAGAATGCTTGCATTAGTTGCATAAATAATAAATGAATTATTTTTTTATGTAATAGTAATGAGTGATTGTTGTATTCTAGTTGAAATTGTTTTTTTTTTTTTCCTTCAAGGGAGGCCAGCGGCCAAGAAGGAGAGATTACAGAGGGCTAGAGGGAAAGGATTGAGAAGAAGCCACAATATTCCGCTCGAAACTAACACCTGAAATATCATCCCTAATAATTGAAACTAGCCCTGAGGGTAGGGGTGGTAATCGGTCGGTAATCGGTATTAGGGATGATATTTCGGGTGTTAGTTTCGAACCGGTTATCGACCGACCCGATTACGGTATATCGAGTTATTGGGATCAATTGGTTCTTGATATGGTATCAGAGTCTTCTGTGATCGTGAGGTCTTCTGTTCGATTCTCGGTGACCCCAACTATTCCTGTTAAGCACATGGTGTCCGGACCTGTGCCTGTGCAAACTCTAAGCCTATCTGAGTGGCTTGAGTTTGAGGGGAGTGTGTTAATAAACGGTATATGATTCACGATTGAACCTCTCCCGACAACTCGAGTTATTGGGACCAACTGGTTCTTGACATACCGTTTACCATGAGGAAGAGGTCGAATACCGATACTGGTTAACCGATTACCAAATAGACGGTTACCGATTATACCGTGTACCGACTACCATCTCCGTCACCTCTCTATTTTCATTCTCCTGAACCGTCCTCTCCCCCCCCCCTCTCCCCAACCCTCCTCTCTCTTCCGATCTCCTCTCCCAGCCCTCCGCTCTTTCTTGATCTCCTCTCCCCATCCCTACCGCCACCGCCGCATGCGGGCATCACAGAAGTTTTCTCTCCGCCACTCAGACCACCAGTCGTTGCCGCCACCGGATTAGGAATTTTTTGGGGTTTCTGTAGATCCAGGTGGCCTTCAATCCGACCGATTGTCTTCCGATGGCGGGTCATTGTTGGGCGTCGATTAGAGAATGGAGAGGGTTGTGGTTTTGTGGAGATCGAGAGAGAGACAGGGGAGAGCTGTGGACTCGCTGCATGTTCTTATTTCGCTTCCATGAACTCTAATAGGTCGCCCCTGTTTAAGGATTTGGGCTCTTCTGGTTCTGCAGATGGAATTAGACAGCTGGGCTTCTCTCGATTTCGAGTTATGGTGGTTTCTGGCGGTGGGAGCGGAAGAGGATATGATAATGTTAACTCTGGCGGAGGCAGGGGTGGTGAGGCGCCGATGATGGTGACTCTTCTCCTGGTGGAGATAGCTGGTCTTTGCCTCTCTCAATTGATATCTCCGACCGACAGTTCCTCTGCCATCCCAAACTTCCCCAGCCAGATTGGCAGTCTCCAGGTCTCGAATCTCCGCCACCATTTCCGCAACAGTCGCTGCAAGTTGGGAGGGAGGAGGAGAAGACGGAGACGGACTAATGGTGGAAGATCTGGTTAGTGGTTGGTCTGGTCGGAGGGAGAAGAGAAGACGGAGAACTGGTGGTGGTCGATCTGCTCGCGGGGCCGAGGCAGGGAAGGATCGAATTAATGGATTGGGGATTCAGAGGGAACTTCTTCCTGGGAGAGATTGAGAGAATTGGGGTTTGGGGGTTACTAAATGGGTGATAGAAGGAAAAGGTTGGGATTTGGGGAGGGTATATCGGTTACCCGGTATTACCGATAACCGTCGGGTTTTAATCGAGCATGGGTCGGTATATCGGCAGCTGGATTTTGGCCACCGTATACCGATATCGCCGGTTAACCAGTAACCGTCGGTTATCGATTTGGTAACCGGTTGAACCCTTAACAGGATACCCGATACCAGCCCTACCGGAGGGTGGGTTACTCAACTCATACACACCGCAGGGATATACGAGACTGTGCTTCGAGAGCCAGTCCACAGCTCTATTCCTTTCTCTGTATGTATGATTTAAGCTTACTAGCCAATCCCGGCTTAGCTTCCTGCGAATTACCGCCAACAGAGTGGAATACGGATGGAGCAGATCGTGACGGTGCTTGAGAAGTTGCATCGCCAATTCCGAATATGTCTGAATCATCAGGACTCGATACCCAGCCTTCCAAGCCAAATCAATTCCATGGTAGAGTGCCCACAGCTCTGCTAGAACTATCTTCGCACATCCAATGTTCGCCACGAATCCCCCAAGCCAGTGTACATTAGAGTATCGTAATAAAACTCTAGCACCTGCCAGACCGGGGTTCCCGTTTGATGCGCCATCGACATTGAGAGCCACCCAACCGGTCTGAGGAGCATGCCAGCTGACTTCGGCCAAAACCCGCTGTGGGCGAGGCTTCCTCATCGTCGCCTGTTTTGACTCTGCAGACTACGCTTGATGCCATAATCTAGTTTTTGCCTTGATGGAGTGAGCTAGAGAAGGGGTTGTGAGTGCGGCACTAGTGCCTTGAAATGCCGTCGTCGATATGTTTTTCCACAGGAGCCACACCGCTGTGCTAAAGAAGGCTGGCTAGTGCATTCCGGCCACTTCACTACCTATGTCTTCCAAGTTCTTCCGCAGCCACGTCTTTTGATTGTTGCTAAAGAATTGGCTTAGTTGAAATTGTTTAGTTGATGTGACATATACAATTATTAAATATATATGATTATTGATGTTTTGATTGAGGGTGATCAAACAAAGTGATTATCGTGGTAATCATTTCAACTAATAGTATTCGAATAATTTGGCTTGGTTAATTTAGATAATTGATTTGGTTTGGTTACATTTTTTGGCTTGTTTGGTTTAGGTGGTTTGGTTTAGTTTTAGACACTCTTAAGTTCTAACCAATTAGCCATATATCTAATATATTATATACCCATACTTTGCATGACCACTCAAGAGTAAAGTGTTCCTCATTTTTTGGACTCATCCACAAAATAAAGTTCATTGTTTTTCATATACTATATTTGTTCTTGTAGAGTGTAGACAACAACATATGGGCACCTAATTTAGATTATACTCGTGCATCATGATGGATGAAAACCTGAAAGGGAATGACTTCTTTCACACTCCGATTATTGCTAGGAGACTAAGACAACTCACATAGACACACCCAATTCATTAACCTCATACTATTCACATGTATTTTTGTTAGGTGACTACTTCTAACGACTCTAAGAAAATTGTATTAGTTGCATGTATTTATGTTAAAAATGTTTACTATGGGTTGATTGTTATATTTTATTCATTATTTAAATCACGGGTTGATCCATTAGCAAGAGATCTTTTTCTCACGTATTGATAATGCTATATTATATTAGTTAACATAGATGCTTTGTTTGTTGCCGACGATGGAAGCGACGGTGAGTGCTGAGGTGGTGTATGGAACGACGATGGGAGCTTACAGCTGCGACATGTTTGACAGGAGGAAGGTTAGGTTAAAAATAGGGTTTGAGTTAAATATATAAAATAATTATGCGTAGTTACATTTTTTCTTTCAAAATTATTCTTCAACAATCTTAACCGTGAGATTAAAAAAGGAAGAAAAGATACAAATGGATGACGGATACTAAGATAGCCAAGATGGCTAGTGGAATTTTGGTATAGCCACCCTAAGGCATTCCTACAAATGGGGATGGGATGCTCTGTCAAACTTCAAAACTACTGAAACTCTATTCCACTGGATTTAATAAACTTCCCATCATTGATGAAAGACATTAACAAACGAGGAATGCATTAACTATTCCTACAGTCGAATACAACTCCCAAGAGAAACTACCCAACTAACAACACATCCAAATGGGTTGATGTCTGCTTTCTAGATGCCATCCTCGCACAACAGAGAGATGATTGCTAATCGATTCTCACTTTAGCTCGATGAGTTCTTTCGTGCAGCATAAACTCGGTAGGCTGCCAGACCAACAATGGCGACAGCAGCTCCAACTGCATATTAAACATACAAGGTTGCCATCACAAATATATACATGAATAAAAGTATGAGATCAGTGAATCAAATAGATTTTCGGGTGAGATAAATTGTTCGGTAATAGTTAATGACTGCTGTCATGTCCACAGGCAAGCAATAAGATTATTGAAAATTACAGTGACTGATGTTATAAGCTGGGTCTGGAAAAAACCGTGCGGTATTGAGGACATTTCAACAGAAACATAGGGTTGAAAGTACCTTTATTCACAATACTACATTGCTTTTTAACAAATACGCCCTTTACAATATTTCATAATATCAAGTATTGTGTACTAAGTTGACAGAATCTCCTCCAAGTTACTAACTAATGTGGTTGACACCAATGATTAGTAACACGTATCAGGTGCCATAACACATCATACAAACAAGGAGAGGTACAACTGAATACTCGAATTGAGAGGCTAAACCTCAATTTAAATATATATGGCATATGGGTCTAAGGCATATCTGGCTAACATATGGGTCAATCCTAAAACAACTAATTCGGACGCAATTTTTATCTAGTAACTAAAACCGGATAAAGGACATGGTAAATGGGTCGTGTTTGTCACAGCAATATTATAGAGTTGTTTTGAAATAGTATAGGGCATTTAATTCCATTGAACCTTAAAAGAAAAGGTAGAACAGTATATGTAGGAAGTACCCGAAAAAAACATAAGCGAGCGGTTGACGAGACGATGGTACTGTTTGCGACTTTTTCCAGCTTCAGTTTCGGGAATGCTCAAATGTGGGTGCTCAGCTGCATTTACAATCCTACGGAAGACGTTATTCGTATCGCCCATTCTCGAACTGATGGGAATCGGAGCCTCTATCCCCAAATCTTGAGTGACCTGCAAGAACCAACATTTGGGCCATTCCATCAGTAAAGGAATGAAGTGGAGCAACCTCACAAATAAAAAAATAGAAATTTTCTGAAATTGGGATTAGCACCCTTGTGGTCTCCTGAATTGCCATC